GTTGGGCTCCTGGGAACAATGCTATCCTCGAGAGGAGTCCTCAGGGCGCCAACGCCCTGGCAGGGGCTGGGGGCGCTGCCGTTCAGCAGAAGTGCTGCTGCTGTCCTGGGATGGCCCTGGAGTCGCTAGCGCCCCTGCCTGGGCCCTGGGGAGCCCAGATACAAGCATATACTATACAGTAGGGAATACAACAGGTGCCCTGTGAGCCCCAGATACAGGCCTACTATGCAGTAAAAAATACACTAGAGCCCCTGAGAGCCCAGATGCAGGTCCCCATGTACAGGAGGGAACACAATAGGTGCCTGGGAATGCCAGACCTGTTGGGCCCCCATAGTACAGTAATTTTTTGCGCTCTTTTGAACTCTGGGAGATGCCACATTAAATAAATACACCGCCCATCACATTTCCAGTATCACTTAGCATTCTGAAGACGGTGACAGAAACAATATCGAACAAGGAAAACATAAGCGGTGGTGTTGTGATGAATGACTGTTCTCTTCTCCTATTGGCTGTAATTTGGCGGGAAAAGAATAGACCAATAAACAGTCAGTAAAGTTGCTGTCCCAGAGAGAGCCCCTGGGGGCGCCAGCGATCCTTTACGGGCACCTAGAGCGCCGCCGACCTTAGTAGCCCTAAGAACAATACTGCTCCTCGAGAGAGACCCTAGGGGCGCCGCCGTTCATGAGAGGCACCTGGTAGCACTGCTGTCCTGGAAGAGCCCCTGGAGACCTTCGGCAGCGACCCTTTCACGGAGCACCTAGAGACGCAGTCGTCGTCTGGTGGAGCCCCTGGGGAGCGATATTGCTCCTCGAGAGAGACCCTAGGGGCGCCGCCGTTCATGAGAGGCCCTGGGGCTGCTCTCCTAGAGAGCCCCTGAGTGACAGCGACCTTCCACCCCAGGCACCTAGAGGCGCCTTAGGTCCCTAGATTGGGCTCCTGGGAACAATGCTATCCTCGAGAGGGAGTCCTCGGGCGCCAGCGCCCTGGCAGGACTAGAGGCGCCGCCGTTTAGCATAGTGCTGCTGTCCCTGGGATAGCCCCTGGGGTCGCCTAGCGCCCTACCAGGGCCCCTGGGGAGCAGATACAACATACCGTTGGGGAATACAACAGGTGCCTGTGAGCTTAGATACAGGCCTACTATACAGTAAAAAAGAATACACTAGGGCCTAATAGCCCAGATAGAAGCGATCATGCAGGAGGGAATTTAATAGGTGCCTGGGAACGCCATACCTGTTGGGCCTTGGTGCAGTGGTTGCTCTTTAGAACTCTGTGAATGCCACGTTAAAATAAATACACTTCCCATCACATTTCCAGTATCA